GGGGGGGGATTGAGTCAGGGGGCGGGGGGGGGGGCTGTTGCCACCGCCGTCCATGCTTTGCCAGCTTCTGGAGCGTTGATGGTGATGCTGATGGGGGGGAGGGGAGGCAACGATGGTGGCAAGCAGCCACGAAAGGCGAAACAAGAGAAACACGTACCACGTAAGGTTTTGTAGTGATGGTGTAGATTCGGATGTGACAAGTGACACTCCTCTGCTGTTTGTAGGCAAGAACTTGCTGCGTGTGAAGAACGTTGTTTCTCAGAGTGTGCGAGTTTGTGCTTATTTTATTTCTGCTCTTCAACTGCGTGCGTGTATTTGTTTGTGTCCGTTGTTCCATTTATTCTGGAATTGAGAGTTGTTTTACACGTCCCGGTATGATTGACGCATCATCATCAGCCGGGGTCATGAAGAAGGAGGAAGGCTACACACAACAGGAGCTTTCGTGTACTTTTTTCACCTTCCTTCACCATTTACTACTTCACTTTTGGACGCGACAAGAGTTCAGCCGTCGCTCTCCATTGTCGACCGTGAACTCGAACCTGTACCGGAGGGTATTATATGCCGTCATAAGGGATCTGTATTCTACCAACTGACACCTGCGGGGACATCGAGCGGCCGTTGCGATTCATAGTTTGTCTTTCTGTGCTAAATGTGAATATAGATCAATGCGGAAGCATTTTTCGCCGACCCCAGTTCACCGATTAAAACACACACCTTGACGCTTCGCCGTAGGGACTACAGCAGGACGTAGTGCGTCTTCGGCTCGCAGCTTGCGTTGCATAATGAGTCAATCGTTCTTGCTTCCGGCGACCTACTGTGGTTTCGTAGTGCCCCGTACTAGCTACGTTACAACGAATTTTATTGTTAGATTTTCCTTCTTTTAGCAAACTCCAACGCAATCACGGAAAGCCACATACATCAGGGAGTGTACCGCAAAAATCCTTGCGGAAAACGAGCATCATCTCGACGAGTTAACGTCATTCTCCCTCTCGCCTCTCCTTTTGCTCATTTTCGACCAGATTCAGACAACATGCCTCCTCAAAATATTTTCGCGCTTCGCGCGACAATAGTTTAATTCCCCAGCTGACCCCTTACCATAAAATGCGAGCCTCACATCATGCATGATGTACGCACGGATGACAGAGCACAAATATGAAATAAGCAGTAGAGAGAGCCGTGAACAGGAAGTGCGCCATTAGGAAAGGTCTGGCGGGAGAAGTAGGACGTAGTTACCGGCTACTGCTTCTCCGCGGTCGACAATTATTTCAGCAAAGTGTAGAATTGATGATGTGGAGCGAGAGTACCGTAAACGTCGGAGTTTTTCCCCCGGGGAGGAGATCGCTTTATTGTTCTGGAACCACCCCCCCGGGGGGAAATTGCCGTACCGTGGGGGGTTAGTTGTTTTTGTTCGTATATGTCCTTTACTTGGAAGGGGAAGACGTTTTATCTCTTGTATTAGACACGCAAGGGGAGTAGGGAGAAGTGAAGCCCTCTTTGGAGTTTGAGGGGTCCCCGCACATGCAACCATTTCAAGGTGTACATATGCCCCACCTGCATGCCCTCTGATGTTGCCGGTAGATCTAACCGGTCCGTATCCAAACACACGAGCACCCTCCCTGATTTGCACGCGAATGGCAAACCTGACGTGGGGCATGGATACCCCTGATCTACCAAAGGGACTCAAAACAAGAACAGGCTTGAGGGACAACCCGGCCAACCGGATCAAAAACCCTCGTCTAACACGCTAAATATTGAAAACACCGTCGCTATCACGGAGGATTCCAACGGCCGCACTTCCAAGACAAGACCAAGGCAGGACAGATTGAACCGGTCACGCTGATTACACACCCGGAGCAACGCTCTGGGCGTTTCTAGGCTCTAGCCGCGGGTGACGCGCCGGCACAACGCTTCCTGCGTGACGTACCATGGTCATATATGCCAAGTGCAAAAACACCACAACATAACCAAACAGAACAAGAGAACACTACATCGTAGGTTCATCAGAGCCTGCCGGTGGTACTCGAACTTCTCCCTGCCAAGGACCTTGGTCAGCATGTCGGCGTGCTGCTCTCCAGTCGGAACATACTCTGCAGTGATCTTGCTCGACCCGAATAGCTCGCGAATGAAACGGAACCGCACGCCGACGTGCTTGCTCCTCGCTGACTACTCCTTCACAAGCGAGTTGCAGATGTAGTGCTCAACAATCCCCGTCCCGCCAGTTTCCAGGATGGTCGCCAGCAGTGCCTCTTCCAGGTCCGGTGTTTATCCGGGCCCCGGCATCTCCCCGGCACCTTGCATCCCCCTGCTGCTGCTGTCGGTGGGGCTGTCACTGCCTCCGCCGAAGTCACCCCTTCCCGAAGGAGGCGACGGGGGAACGCTGCCTCCGTCCCCCGGAATCCCGTTGCCGGGTGCCGCCGGCGTCTCCTCGCGCACAAACGGCGTCGCTTGCCCTGGCCCACGAGCCTCCATCACGTCGAGGTCGGACTCACTCTCTGAATCTCTCTCTCCCCCCCAACCTTGGCGTGATGCATCCGCTCTGCTCTCGCCCTCCCCGCCCTTTTCGTCATCTGCAAGAGGTAGCAGCTGCGGGGGAGCGGGCGATGCAGCGGACACGTGGCGCCAGGTGAAATTGCGGGTGGTTGCGACTTTGCTTTTCTTTTCGACGTGAACACGGCTGGTTTGAGAAACGGGTATGTAGACCCGACAGGCGGTGGGGAGTGGTGGAACATCTCGTAGGCGGATTTGTCTCCCTCGCTTGATTTGGTGGCGGTGCAGTTCAGCTGATGGCATGCACACGAAATGGCCTCGGCCCACAACCCGGGGTGGTTCGGTGCGTCGGGGAACAGTTGCGTCGCTTGGATGCGTGACGCAAGCGCGGCATCAGTGATCAACCCTAGCGCTCTCTCCGCTATCTCGTTGTATTTTGGGGTGTGAGGGGGGGTCAACTCTTGTTTGATGCCGTGTCTGCGGCAAACTTCCGCAAACTGCCCCTGGAACTCGCCGCCACCGTCGGTACGTGCGATATAAACCTCACACGGAACCCCTTTCGTTCGGTAGTCCGCCAGGAACTTCTCAAACCCAACCGCTGCGTCAGACTTGTGTTTCAAGAAGAAAACACGCGTCCAACGGGAGAAATCGTCTCTGATGATCAGTGTGTACCAGTTGCCACCAATGCTCCTGGTTTTCATCTTTCCCCCCAAGTCGAGATACACGCGAAATAACTTCTTAACTGCGCGTGTGCTCGTGCTCTTCTGGACGGGTTTCACCTGTCCCTTGGACATCGAACAGCCAAAACAGGGTAGCAGCGGTCCATCCGTCAGCTGCACTCCCTGCTGCTCCGCCGTGATCCTGACCAATGTCTCGTGGGCATGGCCGTGCGCGAGGTGTTACTCGTTGAGGTCAGTGGGGTTGGCTGCTTTTGCATCGCCAGGAACAATGAGTGCAGCACAGGCGGTGTGTAGCGTTGGCTTTACTTGATAGCCTCCAGCAGCTTTCCAGTCCGGGGGAACCACACCTCCCCCCCGGCTTTCGTGGTCAGCATGAGGCCCCCCTTAATCCCCGAATACGTGTGGCCCTCCTCCGCCAACGAAGACAGCGAGAGGAGGTTGTAGGGGGCCTCTGGTACATGGGCAGCATTCAGTACTGGTACGGGTACTCCACCATCTTCCGTCTGTAGGACTAAGGTCACATCTCCGTATCCTAGAAGAGGAACGGGGGCCTTGTCGCCTCCGATCCCCTTCACCCAACCGCTACGCTCACGGTAGTTCACGAAGTTGTCTGCACATCGGAACATGGAGCACGTGGCCGCTGTGTCGGCCACGTACACCGCCTGGCCTTGTTCCACAACCCCCACTAGACCTACTTCACCAACGGTACCACACTCGCCTGGGGGGACTGCCCCGGCTCAAAACGCCTGGTCTTCCACGGAGTCCACGTCGCCCTCATGCTCCACCACTTGCGCTAGGACGGCCTCCTCCGTCGTCATCGGCGCCTCCACTGCTGCTTCCCTTGCTCTCCTCGACTCCTCCGGAGCCGCCTGAGCGGCCACCGCGACCGCCGCCGCCGCGGCCACGACTGTTGCTGCGGTCACGGCCGCCGCCACGACCACGACCTTGCCCCTGACTCCTACTTGAGCACCGCTCCCTGCGGACCTCACCGTCGGCGAAGTACGCTTGCTTTGCGCCCTTCGCCCCTTTTCCTTTCCCCTGCTCCAGCTCGTCCTTGATCGCCTTGTATTCGATCATTACTTTCTTTAGCACACCGGTCCGCGTCAACTCCTTCGCGTGTCGCAGGTTGTGCTTTGTCATGGCATACTCGTCCGAAAGGGCATCCAGGAAGAGGTGAAGGACGAACGTTTCGTTGACAGTTAGTCCTTTCTCGGACAAGGACTTTGCGGTTTGGAGCATCTCATTTCGGGCGTTTTGGCGGTTTTCACCTCTAGAGATCTTGGTCGACGTCAGGGACTTGAGGT